CCAGTCCACCTCGATGTCCCCCAAATTTTGGGATTCCCATGAAATTCTGGTATCGCTCCAAATTTCAGCCATTCCCACCAAGTTTTTTGGTCGTAACCAAAATTTTTTGGATTTTCCCCCAAATTTTGGAATTCCCCCCAAATTTTGGGACTTCCCCCCAAATTTTGGGCTGCCTCACTCCCCAGTCCACCTCGATGTCCCCCAAATTTTGGGATTCCCATGAAATTTTGGTATCACCCCAAATTTCAGCCATTCCCACCTAGTTTTTTGGTCGTAACTGAAATTTTTTGGATTTTCCCCCAAATTTTTTGGATTCCCCCCCAAATTTTGGGGTTCCCCCCGGATTTTGGGGTGCCCACTCACCCCCTTCGCGGCACCACTCCACAAGGTACCCCTCGATACCCCCAAATTTTGGAATTCCTACCAAATTTTGGTATCGCCCCAAATTTCAGCCATTCCCACCAAGTTTTTTGGTCGTAACCGAAATTTTTTGGATTTTCCCCCAAATTTTGGAATTCCCCCCAAATTTTGGGACTTCCCCCCAAATTTTGGGGTGCCCCACTCCCCAGTCCACCTCGATGTCCCCCAAATTTTGGGATTCCCATGAAATTTTGGTATCACCCCAAATTTCAGCCATTCCCACCAAGTTTTTGGATCCCAACCAAAATTTTTTGGATTTTCCCCAAAATTTTGGATTTTCCCCCGAATTTTTGGATTCCCCCCAAATTTTGGGGTGCCTCACTCCCCAGTCCACCTCGATGTCCCCCAAAATTTGGGATTCCCATGAAATTCCGGTATCGCTCCAAATTTCAGCCATTCCCACCAAGTTTTTTGGTCGTAACGGAAATTTTTTGGATTTTCCCCCAAATTTTTTGGATTCCCCCCCAAATTTTAGGGTTCCCCCCGGATTTTGGGGTGCCCACTCACCCCCTTCGCGGCACCACTCCACCAGGTAGCCGTCGATGCCGCCGGCGCCCAGGCGCTCGGGCGGGCGCCACTTGAGCGTGGCCGTGGTGTCGGTGACGTCCTCCAGCACCAGGTGGGTGGGTTCGCTGGTGGGGGCTGCGGGGGGGACCCCAAAAATCACCCCAAAATGATCACCCCAAAAAATCGACCCCAAAATGATCGACCCCAAAAATCAACCCGAAATTATGAACCCCAAAAACCAGCCCCAAATCCTCAACCCCAAAATGGTCCACCCCAAAAATCACCCCAAAATTATTGACCCCAAAAATCAACCCGAAATCCTCAACCCCAAAATTATTGACCCCAAAAATCACCCCAAAATGATCACCCCAAAAAATCGACCCCAAAATGATCGACCCCAAAAATCACCCCAAAATGATTGACCCAAAAAGATCAACCCCAAAATGATCGACCCCAAAAATCACCCCAGAATTATCAACCCAAAAAGATCAACCCCAAAATGATCGACCCCAAAAATCACCCCAAAATTATCGACCCAAAATGATGCACCCCAAAATTCAGCCCGAAATTTGAAACCCCAAAGTTCAGCCCGAAATCGTCGACACCGAAATGGTCGACCCCAAAAATCGACGCAAAATGGTCGACTCCAAAAATCAACACAAAATGGTCGACCCCAAAATGGTCGACCCCAAAAATCACCCCAAAATTATCGACCCAAAAAGATCAACCCCAAAATGATCGACCCCAAAAATCAACCCGAAATTATGAACCCCAAAAACCAGCCCCAAATCCTCAACCCCAAAATGATGCACCCCAAAATTATTGACCCCAAAAATCAACCCGAAATCCTCAACCCCAAAATTATCAACCCAAAAATCACCCCAAAATGGTCGACCCCAAAAATCA